GAGATGGCCCTCACCTCCAGCCACTTGCTCACGTGTTCCACCATGAGCACAATGTAGCGCTTACCCCCCCTGCTCAGGGGCAGTTCCCCGGCCAGATCCAAGGACCACCTGAAGCCTAGGCCTCGGATGGGCAGGGACTGCAGCTCGGCTTTAGCCTGGCTGAGGTTTTCCCTGCTCCTCTGAGATGCCTCACAGCCCTCCACCCAGCCCTTTACTTGCCTCCGCATCCCCTCCCACCACCATCCTGTCTTCAGCAGCTGCACTGTTCTCTCATGTCCGAAGTGCCCCAGTTTCGTGTGCACCTCTTTGATCACAGCTTCCCTGTCCCTTGGTGCTGGCACCAGCTTCCATCCATCCTCGGTTTGGATCTGCAACTGCTGCTGATACCATCTATAGTGGTGCCCCCTGGCCCTCACTCTCTCCGTCATTTCCTCATCTTCCTCCGTCTCTCCCTTCACCCACCGCATGGCCTGCTCGTCTTCCCAAATATCTGCCGGCCCCTTGCCCCCTTTGGCCCCCCCCACTTCTACCTGTCTGGCCAGCAGTGTTAAGGTTACGCTCGGTTCCAGCTGTGGGGGGTTGCGGGAGAGGCCATCCACGTGCTGTAGTGTCTTCCCCGGCCTGTGCTTAATCTTGAAGTCGTATTCCTGCAACTTCATCGCCCATCGTGCGTTCCTGCCTGTCAGTCCCGGCGTAGTCATCAGCCAGGTCAGTGGCTGGTGATCCGTCACCAACGTGAATTCCCGTCCTTGCAGGTACACCCTGAAATGCCCCACCGCCCATACCGCGGCTAGTCCCTCCCCTATGTACGAGCTGTACTGCACCTCCGCCGAGTTGCAGCTCCTGCTCGCGTAGGCCACTACCTTCTCCTCCCCTTGCACTTCTTGGCAGAGTATCCCTCCCATTCCCTGGCTGCTCCAGTCGGTGTAGAGGGTGAATGGCTGGTCTGCTATTGGCAGCCGTAACACGGTCGCCGTCTTCACTGCTGTCATAAGGTCCTGCAGGGCTCCCTTCTGAGCCTCTCCCCATTCCCATGCCCTGTCCTCCCTCAGCAGCCCGTTCAAGGCTGTTGCACGTTTGCTGAAGTTGGGCACGAACCTCCTGTAGTAGCTAAGGAAGCCCAACACCGCCCTCAGCCCCGACTTGTCCTTTGGCTCCCGCAGCCTGTCCAAGACCTCTACCTTAGCCTGCTGGATCCCAATCTGTCCTCCCTTCACCTCGTATCCCAGGTACTGCACTGTCTCCTCACCCCACCTGCACTTCTTGGGGTGACATGTGAGTCCCGCTGCTTCTATTGCCGCCAGTGTCTTCTCCACATCCCGCAGATGCTGCTCCTCGGTGGCACTGAAGATCACTACGTCGTCTATGTAGCACGCCGCACACTCCACCTCCCTCAGTACTGCATCCATAACCCGCTGAAACACTGCCGATGCGTTCCTCAGCCCGAATGGCATGTATAGCCACTCATACAGCCCATCTGGCCCATGGAAGGCCGTCTTCTTGACATCCTCCTCTCTAATCTTGATTTGGTTGAACCCCTGCCTCAGGTCTAACGTGGTGAAGAAGACCCCATCCGCCAGCTTGTCAAATATCTAACGGTGATCTTGTTGAGCGCCCAGTAGTCTCCGCACATTCTCCTGCTCAGGACCTTCCCTGTCAGGTCCTTCCTGGCAGCTACGACTGTGGGCATGGCGTACTCCGACTCTGACCGCCTGATTAACCCGGCCTCTAGCAGCTCTTTGATTTTCTCCTTGCAGACTTCCTCATCCCCGTGTGGCATCTTCCTCCTCCGGTGGAACACGGGCTCCGTACTGTTCAGCTTCAGCTCCATCTCCTTCACCTTGCACCTTCCCAACTCCTGCATGTTGAAGGCAAAGCACCTCCTGTGCCTGGTCAGCAGCCGCACCATGGCCTCCCTCCCTTCCTCACTCATCGCCTCCCCTACCTTCCACGTCTCTTCCTCCTTCTCCTGGCATGCCCACGCCCCCTGAGGGCGCGGCTCTGTGCCCCCTACTCCTTCCTCCTGCCCCCAGCACATCACCGTCTCTCTCCACATCCGCTGGACCAGCCATTTCATCATGTTGCCGTCCATGGCATTCCCTAGGGCTCTTCTCCTGTCAGCCTCGCTCACCCCAGGAGCCGCCGTTGCATTCTCCCCGTACCCCAAGGCCAGTTCCCGCTCCAGTGCGGTCGGCTCTTCCCACCGCTTCTTCCTGTGATCGTAGATGAGTCCTGGGCCCGGCTCCCCCGCTGCTTATGTATACCCTGCCGCCCCTGCATATGCAACCAGAGTGGGCAGCGCTCGCCGTTCCTGTCCCACTTGGTTGCAAGGGTAGTGCCTGCTGTATCCCTTCTTGTCCACCGGCGCTGGGGTCCGTCCTGGCTCAAGGATATCCTGTACTTTCCTCTCTGGCGCCCTCCTCACCCCCTCTATCTCCTCCTGCAGCTTCGGAGCTGGGACTATGTTCTGCCAGTACATTCTCAGTCGGTGAGCCCGTGATCCCATTCTGGCCGCATCGCTGCTCACCCCCTCTCCCAATTGCTCCCTGATCCTCTCCCGCACCAGCCGTACTGGCTCCCTACTGTCTCCCTCTAAGTCCAGATTCTCCACCAGGTAGGCCACTCTCCCCTGCCTCTCTTGCAGCCACTCCAGGATACGGAAGAGGTCCTCCATCAACTGTGTCCTTGGGTCCCCCTTTCCTCTCCCTTTGCCTGCCCATGATACCCCTTGGCAGTCCCACCCCGCCACCAGCAGATCTACCTGCCCCCAGCTGGCCACTTCCGCCTCTGTCAACTGTGCCACGTCGTGGCTGTCCCCCCCCATGGCTTCGCAAATGACTCCTGCACTTAGAAGCTCTGGGAATTCCGCTTGCAGCTTCCACGCGTGATGCTCGGCCATCTTCCTTACCGCGGGTGCGCGTTCCACGTACACCCATTTTTGCACTGCTACCCCACTTCTCACCACTGCTGCTAGCCCCGCCCCAATCCCTCCAAACAGCTCCACCAAGCGAATGGGCTGCTGCCAGTCGCTCTGCAGCCTCGGCTCGTTCATCATCCTCATTCTGGGCACTCCCTTGGTACCCCACACTCTCTCGTTCTCCCAAGCTTCTCCTGTCTCTGCTTCCTGTCCCGCCACAGCCTGGTATGCTCTCCTGGGCTCCACCTTCACGAATCGTACTGGCAGCTCTCCTAGTGGCCCCTCCTTCTTCCAGTACCGCGTGCGGAATGCCACCCTCTCGGTCCACGTGCATATGGTCATGCCCACCGCGAACACCAGTTCTGTGCCCACCAACACGTCAAAGTCCTCAGACTCGGAGATGCCACTTTTCGTCCGGATCTTTGTCTCATGCTCTCCTCCTGGCAGTAGTGTCATCTCTATGGGTGCCCTTGAGCAGGGCATCCATTTCGGCTCCCCCCCCTCTGCTGTCATCACCAACATCCCCTTTTTCACATGCCTGCCCGGCGCCAAGAGCCCTAACCTCTCAGCCATCCCCTTTCCCAGCATCACACTCTGTGCCCCCGTGTCTATGATGGCAGTCTTTACTCTTTCTCCTTCCACTTCCATCGCCCCTTCCTCCAGTAACAACACTGAGGTCTGACATGCCAGCCTCTCCTGTGGATGGCGTGCAGGCGGCGGAACCACCTCTGGCTCCTCTGGGTTCTGCCCCCTTCCCCGGACTTCCTGCTCTGCTCCCGCCTGCCATCCTTCCCCCCGCTCCTTAGCCCCATCTCCTTTCTTCCCCTCCATGCCATAAGTGCACATTGCACGTCTTGCTCTACCTCCTCTCCCTCCTCGTCTCTGGCGTACATCCCTGCCTCCGCCCCCCACCTTGGTCCTGTTGCCTGTAATTGTGCCTGCAACCTGCTGATCTGCCGCTGCAAATCCTCAGGACTCCTCCTGGCTCCTCCTTCCCTCTGATAGCAGTCCTTGGCCTCGTGCCCCCTCCTCTTGCACACCTCACACTTAGCGGCATCCGGACATTCTCGCTTGCGGTGGCCAGGCTTCCCGCACCCATCACAGTTCTTGCAATCCCTGCGGAGATGCCCTGGCTGCCCGCAGCGGTGGCAGTTCCTGGTCTCTGCCCGTGTCTCTCCTCGCTCCTCTGCCTTCCCTCTGTCTTCTGGTATCATGGCTGCCGCCCAGGTCGGCCGGCGGGCTCTCTCCATTTGCCGCGGTAGATACGCCTCATATTTCCTTTGTGCGAGCTCCACCCTTTCGGCCAGCTCGAACACCTCATCCAGGCTCGCCTCCACACCCAGCTCATACACCTTCATACGCAGCCCGCCTCCCAGTGCCTCGTCCAGGCCACCTAGGAACTTACTTATCAAGAGACTGCTGTCCGTGCATCTCACATCTTCGGCCACATTGGTCAGCCGATTGTAATACGCCAGCAGTGACTCGGTCCTCCCTCGCTTGAATTCCTGAAACTCCCTTATGCGCTCCGCCGTGTGCCCTGGGAACTGCCGTTGCAACCGCTCAAAAAAATGCTTCAGTGGGGTCCTCTCCATACCTCCCCGCCCTCCACAGCAGCTCCTCCATCCTCATACGGTATAGAGTCTCCGCTTCTCCATCTAAGGTGTTGGGCAGGCTTAGGAAGAAATCAATGGGGTCCATGCCGTTCCGGTCGCACCGATACTTCACGTTCCCCACCTGCATCAGGTAGTTCTTGAGTGATGGCCCCGCCCTCTGATCTCCCGAGAATCTGGCCGGCACCTCTACCCTTGTCGCCATGGCCCCACCTCCTCTTCCCTCTCCCCAAGACTCACTTGCCCCTCCCCACGGTCTCCCATACCCCCCTCCTTGCCCTGCTCGTTCCAGTCCCTCTCTGGCCATACGGGCTCGCTCAGCCCCCTGGGCCAAGCTGCCACTCCTGGCCCTGCTCTCCTGCTTCCCTCCGCGCACCTCTCCCGACTGTCCCCACTGACTACCTCCCCTTCCCGTCTGCTCCCATCGTCGTTCCGGCGAGTAATGACTCTGCTCCCACACCCTCGGGCCGGCTTCACGTGGCTGATGTCTCGCTGGGGGTGGCGACCACTCCCTTCTCTCCTGCAGCCGTGTGCCTGGCGACGCGCGTCCTGCTTCCTCCCGCCCTTCCTCCCGCCAACGGCGCCGGTCGGGCGACCGCGATTCTCCTCTGGTCCCCCCCCCCCCCCCACTGTTGCCGCCTGTGCGGTGAACGTGACCCCTCCATCCGCCGCCCCTCCCTACACCGCCGCGTTTCTGGCGAGTGATGCTCCCCCCCATGGCCTCCTCCCAGCGCCCGCGGTGGCGCCCCAGAGCGAACCGTGCTCTCCTCCGCTCCTCCCCGTCTTCCTTCCGCGCCCCCATACCGTTCGGCCCTTGGCGGCGGTTCCCTTGACGAGCGCGAGCCGCCGTCGCTCGCCTCCGCCTGCCGACGCTGGACTCCCGTTGCGTGTCTGTCCCCTGCCTCGCTTCGTCCGCGCATTCCCGGTGTCGGCATCGTGCGTGTCCCTCCCTCCCAAGCCTGGCCTTCCGGCTGCGGTGCACCGCGGGCAGGCTGTCCTTCCCGACGGTTGGGGCCCGTCGCACGTGACCCCCTCTCCTGCGCCTCTCCTTCCTCCTCTGTCGTTGTCTCTGTGGTGCCGGCGTGTGTCGCACCGGGCGCGCGCTCTCCTTCCTTGACTCCGCCTGGGACGTGGGGTCCCGCGTGCGTCTGCTCGCCGCCGTCCCACCGCGGGTCGTGGTGCTCCTGTTCCCCGCCGTGCGCCCGCTCGCCGTCGGCCTCCTGCCCTTCATCGCGCTCTTGCTCCCCGCCGTGCTCCTGCTCGCCGTCGCTATCCTGCTCGTCGCCGTATTCAGGCTCGTCCCTGCGCTCCGTTTCCTCGCCGTGCGCCTGCTCATCGCGGTGCCACTGCCCGTCGTCATACGCCGGCCCGTCGCCAAGCTCCCTCTCAGCCTCCTCGTGCTCACGCTCCTCCCGCGTCAGTTCGGCCCGCGGATCCTGTCCGGCCCAGTGCACACCCGAGCCCACTCCTTGCTCCCGCGGGAATCCCTCCCTCCTACGCCAGCGACCTCGCTCATCTCGCCGCCGACCCCCCCTTTCTGGGGAGTGGAACACCCCTTCGTCGCGCGGGTGGCGATGCTTGTCACCGCGAAGGTGGAACGTGTTCCTCCGCCACGGTACGTCGCTCGTCATCGCGCCGAGTCGGCCACCGTCACGCACGCCTTGCACCGCCTCTCTTTCTCGGCTGGCTGGCACGACGGGAACTCTATCAGCTCGAAAGGCCGGCCTTCGGGGCGACCGCTCTAAGGAACGCCCTCGCTCCCGCGAGCGTTCGGGCCGCGGCCCTTCCTTTTCGCGTCGAGTGAAGACCCGGCCCCATCGTAACTCATACTTGTCCATGCTAAGTGCCTACGCTTGTTTCCTGGTATGAACGGGATCTCTCCCTCACCCCACTGGTTCCCTCTTGGTGGCGTACCGCTGTGTGCAAAGCTTAGAGCAATATCTTCCACTATTCTGAGAGAATACCAGGAAACAAGCAACGAGTGCCCTGTGAGTGCTTGGCCTTACCCTGCCCTACCCTACCCCGTGAATGAGAATAACACGGGTTACCTAGCACTAGTGATGGCTGCAGCAGAGGAGAAGCCGAACGCAGAACTACATGCAGTAGTGAAGGAGGTCTTGGAGCAGTACAAGGATATAATGCCCGACGACCTACCCGCAGGCGTACCTCCAGCGCGCACCCACGAGCACGAGATCGTGGAGGAACCAGGTGCGAAACCCGTCTCACGTGCACCATACTGCCTTAGTCTGACATAACTGACAGACATGAAGAAGCAGATAGAGTATCTACTGGACAAACAACTGATCCGCCCATCCACCTCTCCCTACGGTGCACCCGTTCTCTTCACTCCAAAACCAGACGGCAGTTTACGGATGTGCATCGACTACCGCGCACTGAACAAACAGACAGTAAAAAAGAAATACCCCATACCGCACATACACGATCTTCTGGACCAACTGCGTGGTGCAACAGTATTCTCGAAGCTGGACCTACGGTCGGGTTACTGGAAGATCAAGATGGTAGACAACTCGATCCACAAGACGGCGTTCCGTACCAGATACGGCTCCTACGAATAATTAGTGATGCCGTTCGGACTCTACAACGCACCAGCAACGTTCCAGGCGGAGATGAATCATATCCTACGGCAATTGCTGGACGAGTGCGTAGTGGTATACCTGGACGACATTCTCATCTACTCCAAGAACATGAAGGAGCACGTGGAGCATCTGCGGAAGGTGTTCGAGATCCTGCGGAAAAACAAGTTCTACGTGAAGCTGTCGAAGAGCGACTTCGCGACGAAGAAGTTGCAGTTTCTCGGGCACATGGTGAGTGTGGAGGGCGTACACGTGGACCCGCGGAAGATCAAAGCCGTCAAGAAGTGGAAAGCACCGGAGAACGTGAAGGAGTTGTAGCAGTTCCTACGCTTCGCCAACTACTACAAGAGGTTCGTGCCACAGTACGCTAAGATAGCAGACGCACTAGCACCTAGAGCAGCAGCCACAGTGCCCGGGTCGGGCGGGACACGCAGGTAACAGTCACCCTCAGTAATATCAGCAAGAGCATACATGGCAGCAAGGATAGCATCAAAGTCTAGATCAAAGATAGGCACATTCTGCAGAAGCAGATCATGCCAACGAGGAAGATCAACAGCGTCAGGAAACTGGGTATGCCAGGCGACAGTCAAGCGGCCGAAGCAGCGCGGCGTGGTGTGTGGGAGACCACACACCTCCCCACTACGAGTGCCGGTGCGACGAACGTACGTGCAGGGACCTGCACCCCCAGACCTCCCACGCCCAGCGTACCACTGACCAACCTACTAAAAAAGGATACGCCCTACAAATGGGATACTCCTCATCAGCAAACCATGGAGCAGCTACAGACAGCACTGACTACAGCGCCAGTACTCATCCTACTGAACCAAGACAAGGACTACGTGGTGGAAGCAGACGATAGTGACCAGGCAGTCGGAGCAGTACTGATGCAGGATCACGGACGCGCTTTGCAGCCCATCGCCTATCTTAGTAAGAAGCTATATGGAGCAGAACTAAACTACCCCATCCATGACAAGGAAGCCTTAGCGATAGTCATAGCCTTCAAGGCGTGGAGGTGTTACCTAGAGGGAGCCAAGACAACAGTCTATATTGACCACTGCAGTCTCAAATACCTAAAGTCGCAGCCGACGCTATCACGACGACAGGTGTGGTGGGTGGACTTCCTGGAAACTCACTTCCACTACGACATCGTCTTCAAGCCCAGGCTACACAACAAAGCAGACGCGTTAAGCCGCCCCGGTCATGTAGCAGGCATCCAGCTCGACGGGATGAACCCTCTGCTCAAGGGTCTATTCCAACATGGGTACTCCGTGGACGCAGAGATTGCTACGGCAGCGAAACAGAAGCTGTTACAGTGGGAGAAAGACTTAGCGGTAAGGAAGGGCACAGGAAAGATTTGGGTACCGAACTATGCCCCGCTCCGACAGATTTTGATGGAGGAGTGTCACGACGTACAATACGCGGGACATTCCGGGAGCAACAAGACATTAGCAGGAATAGCGAAGTATTACTACTGGCCCGGGATGGCAGCAGACGTGCAGCAGTTCGTCACCTCATGCGACACGTGCCAGCGGATGAAGAGTAGCAAGCAGAAAAACGCAGGGTTACTTTAGCCTCTACCCGTACCGGAGCAGCCATGGCAAGTCGTTAGCCTCGACTTCATCACGGGACTTCCTTCGACCTCACGAGGGCATGACGCTATACTCGTTTTGATCGATAAGTTCTCTGATATGGGTCGCTTTATTCCGACCAACGCCACGGCTACAACTGAAGCAACTGCTCGCCTCTTCTTCGACCGCATCATCACCATCCACACGCATCCCCGCTACACTCATCTCAGACAGAGACCCCAAATGCACGAGTAAGTTGTGGTAGGAGCTTACGGGATTATTGGGGACAAAGCTTGCAATGTCTTCAGCATACCACCCCCAGACTGACGGACAGACAGAGCGACTCAATCAAGTGGTTGAACAGTTACTGCGCACAGCTTGCAAAGACGACGTCAGCCACTGGGACTCACAGTTACCGACCCTTGAGTTTGCTTACAACATCGCGTCACATGCGGCCACAGGGAAAACTCCTTTCTTTGTGTGCTACGGAAGGGAACCACTTACACCACAGCAGCCAACCATACCGGCACACGTCGAAGCCGCACATGACATCGTCACCACCATGTAGCAGCTATGGGAGAAGAATCAGCGACGTCTCACCACGATGCAGAACTCCCAGAAGCAGTACGCCGATCGCCAGCGACGTGATCACACGGTAGAAGTCGGAGATCAGGTGCTCCTCGACACGCGCAACTTGAACCTGTCTCACCTACCATCCAAGCTCCGGCCTCGCTTCTGTGGTCGTTTTCACGTTGAGGCACAGGTGACACCAGTAACATTCTGCTTGCGCTTACCTACTACGTGGAAGCTTCACAATGCTTTCCATGTTCAGCTACTGAAGCCCTACAAGGACCCCAACCAACAGTTCCAGGGACGGCAGCTACCGCCACCACCACCTGTTCTCATACAGGATGAACCTGAGTACGAAGTGGAGCACGTTCTCACTCATTGGCGCCGCGGCGGCAAGACCCTCGAGTTCCTGATACGATGGAAAGGTTATGACCCCACAGAGGACAGTTGGGTTGCAGAAGCTGATAAGGGCAACGCACGATGTGCTCTCAAGGACTATCTTGTCAAGCAGGGTGTTTCTCACGCCACCCAGCTTTGAGGGGGGGACGTGTGAGAGTACGATGGCTTATGCTTGCTTATTATGCAATATCTAGCTTGGGTTAATTGTATCATGCATACAATTAACGACACAGCGGCCACTCGCCGCTCACCGCGCTTGGAGACCCCTCCTGGTTTTCCACCTCGGCCGTCTTCGTCGCCTCTGTAGCCTGTAGCTGTAGAACTCTGGTGCTGCTGGAGGTGGTGACCCTGGGAATGCGGACTCTGGGGTTCTAGGGGTGCTGCGAGTCCTACTGGTGGCAGAGTCGTGGGTAGTCCTGCTGGAGAATCTGGGAGTGGACGTCAGCCGCAGCCGAGTCTGCAGGAGTCTCTCTGGCCGCAGCGGCTTTGCGAGTGGGCTCTGGTGGGGTAGTCGCGGCGGCAGAGCTTGGGGTGCTGGTGCTGGAGGTGCTGGTGCTGGAGGTGCTGGTGCAGGAGGTGCTGGTGCTGGAGGTGCTGCTGCTGGAGGTGCTGGTACTGGAGGTGCTGGTGCTGGAGGTGCTGCTGCTGGAGGTGCTGGTACTGGAGGTGCTGGTGCTATAGGTGCTGGTGTTGGAGGTGCTGGTGCTGGAGGTGCTGGTGCAGGAGGTGCTGGTGCTGGAGGTGCTGCTGCTGGAGGTGCTGGTACTGGAGGTGCTGGTGCTGGAGGTGCTGGTGCAGGAGGTGCTGGTGCTGGTGCTGGGGGTGCTGGTGCTGGAGGTGCTGGTGGTGGAGGTGCTGGTGCTCGTCGCCAGGAGACTCTCTCGCTGCAGCGACTTCGTGAGTGGGCTGTCCGGTGGGGCAGCCCTGGTGGCGGAGCTGGAGCTGCTGGTTCTGGGGGTGCTGGTATTCTGCAGCTGGAGGTGCTGGTGCTGGAGGTTCTCGTGCTAGAGCTGGAGGTCCTGCCGGATCCGTCACAGGGGGTTCTGGGGGTGCGACTACTTATTAGCAGCCGTCTGTGCTTCGCCACCTTCTCTGTCTCCCGCCTGTTGTTACTAAGTTCCCTGTCGCTGGTACTACTCCTCCGTTACTGTTTCCACCGGTTGACCCGTCTCAGCCACTGTTACTCCCTGACTCCCCACATCCTGCTTCTACTCCTTACACTGAGGTGACAGAGTCCCTGACTGAGAGTAGAGAGCGTGCGTCACGTCCTGTCATGCCTGTTCGTACTCGTCGTGCTCCTCGGGCTCGCCCTCCACCTGTCCCCGGCACTCACACTATGTCACTTCATCCTTCCTCTGTTCCACAACGTGTAGTCCTGCCTTCGC